ATCCATCCATCCATCCATCCATCCATCCATCCATCCATCCATCCATCATCTAACTGCTATTTATCTATCTGATCTATCTATGTCCCCCACAGGGTTTCTCTGTGTAACCCTGGCTGTCCTGGAACTCACCTGGCAGACCAGGCTGGCCTTGAACTCAGAGCTCCACCTGCTCTGTGTACCAAGGCTGGGATTAAAGGTGTTCACCACCACACTAGTTCATTTCACTTTGTATTTTTAGAAAAAATTTTCAACGATTTATGTGTATATGTATGTGGGTGGGTGCTTGAGGTCAGAAGAATGTGTCAAATCTTCTGGAGCTGGAGTTATGGGGTTGCACGTCATTCAATGTGGCTGCTGGAAACTAAACTTGGGTCACCTTCAAGAAAAGCCAGTGCTTTCTTAACTGTGAGCCATCTCTCAAGACTGTGGTTTTGTCATCTTGATTGTGCCATGGAGAGATTCTGATAGTGTTGTTTGGGGCTCTAAATGTGTCTTCTCCATCCTTTTCACAGAAACGTTTTATCCCTTTCATTTCTTGAAGGGATTCTTTGTGCCTTTAGTTTAGTGTTTGTGTGTCTCATATGTGCATGAGAGCCCAGGTGCAGAGATGCAACTCAGTGCAGGGGTGCACATAACAGAGGCCAGGAGGGTAGCAGATGTCCTCTTTATTACCCTTAGATAGGGTTCCTGACTCTGAAGTCAGGATCAACTTTTCTCTACCTCTACCCACAAAAATAACCGGGGTTACAGGCACCTGTGGCTATGTCTGGTTTTAACCTGAGTGCTAGGGATTTGAACTTGTGTTCTCATATACACAAAGGAGCCATCTCCCTAGATCCTGAGCCTTGTGTTCATCTCAGCTCCTTTTTCTACCTACAGCTTTGCTATTTTGATCCTATTTTGCAGTTTTTCTAAGTTATAGCTAGACTCATTTAGTTTTTGATGTCAGAATACAGTATTTCCTTGAACTTGTCCTCCAAACACTTATCTTTTTTTTTCCCCCCAAAACTGTCTTGTAGTTTCTTCCAATAGACCTAATAAACAGCCCTGAGACAAGCAAAATCACACATTTCTGTGAGGTATTTCCAATGGTGTGTGGCTACTGGAAGTCCCATTGGAGGGACAGATCTCAATGCGTCTGATAATTTTTTTTAATGTAGCATTTAAAAAATGTTTTATTAATTATTTATTCACTTTGTATCCCAGCTATAGCCCCTTCCCTCACCCCCTCCTAATCCCACCCTCTCTCTCTTTTCCTTCCATGCCCCTCCCCAAGTCCACTGATAGGGGAGGTCCTCCTCCCTTTCCATCTGATCCTAGTTTATCAGTTCTCATCAGGACTGGCTGCACCAGGCCACAGAGGAAGACAATGCAGCATCTGATAGTGTTTATGATTGGTGCTTCCCATTGTATTTAACAGACAGATCCTAATTTCTAACATTTCTGTCCCAGACAATCTAAATTTTCTTCTTACATTTATCTCCCACGTAGCTGAGCTCATTCACATTGCTCTTTTGTTTTCTTTCCTTTTTCATCTTGCTGACTTTCTCATCCAGTACTGGCTTTTGTCTCCAGACAATGGACTTATTTTCCTTAACAATCTTCTTGCTTATAGTATCTTTGGGTCATGGACCACTTTTGCTTCTACACTTTTGAGATCTTTATCTAGTGTTTTATTCATTTGTCTTTGAACTCCACAGCTCAGGAGTCAATCTTTTGCTGAAATGATTGATGACTTGCCTTTTCATATTCACTGTTTTTTTTTTTTTTAACCCATTTTTGTTGTGTGTTTGTGTGTGTGTATGGATGTCATGGTGGGTGTTTGATATAAGAATAACTTTGCAGACTGCTTATTTCATTCCATTGTGGGTTCCAGGGCCTGAACTCAGGATGTCAGGCTTGTGTGATGTCAAGGCTAGCTTTAGTTGTCAACTGGACATGCCTGGGAAGAGGACAATTCAACTGAAGGAATTGCTATCAGACTGGTCTGTAAGGAATTTTCTTGATTGCTAATTAATGTAGGAGGGCCTGCACTGGGAGCAATGCCATCCCTAGGCAGTTGGGCCAAGGGTGTAAGAAAGGTAGCTTTGTAGAAGTCAGGAAGCAGCATTTTGCCATGGCTTCTGCTTTGACTCCCCTCAGTGACAGATCATGACCTGGAGTTACAGTTAAGATGAAATAAATAAACCCTTCCTCCCAAGCTAGATTTGGTTAGTGCTTTATCATAAAAACAAAAATACCAGAGAAGTGCTTTTATCTGCTGAGCTACTTCAATGGCCTTACTGTGTTTTTGTGTTGTGATTTATGCCATCTCCTAGTTTGGATATAATTTCTGGTTTTATCTGGGGCTCTTTCAGTGATAGCTTGCTCTTGAGGGCTTAATCTCCAGTATCAATCATTGAGAAAACTAACAGTAGCAGTATCAAACCATTCAAGATTCAGAAATACACTTAAAATCAAGTAAAGTAAACATATAACCAATGACTAAAAATGTACTAATATACAGTGTACTATGAAATTAGAAATATTAACAAAGATTAATCAGATTAAAAATGAAAATAATAAATGAATGAAATAAAGGGATAGGACCAGAGGAAAGTAGAAAAACGAGTAAAGATGAAAAACAAATAATGAATGGAGAAGGATGCTACTGAGGAGACAAAGGCAAAACTAAGGGAATACAAAAGCACAAAGTTTTGACAATAAAGATAGTAAAAATAAAGAGTACCCAATAATGAAGAACATGTATAAACAAAACTAGATAAATGGCATAATGAATAAGAAAGGAAACCAATAGTTTAAATAAGACACATGAACACAAAAATATGGCACCGGGAGGTCACTCTTGCAGAGGATGTGGTTTGATTCTCATCACCCACCTGAGGCTCATAACTGTCTGTAACCCCAGTTCTAGAAGACCTGATACCCTCTTCTAGCCTCAATAGACACCGGACACTCATTATAGCATATACATACACATAAGCAAAACACTCATCCACATTAAGCAAAACATCCCCCCAAATTCAATAAAGTAAAATATACATATATATATATATTTTTTTTTAAACAAAACCTCTGAATTTAATCTTCATTCCTTCTGCAGGAAACACTATAGAAACTTCAAGCCGAATATACATGCTGACTTCTCACAAACTGTGTAAAGGAGTTTCTTTTAGTTTAATGTATATAAACCAAAATATATTGATATATTTGTAAAGTCAATAAATTTTTGTTTAAGGGATGATTCTTCTGCTCTTCATCCAGGTCATGTTCTGGATTTCTGAATACGGTCCTTAAACATGGTCTGAGAAAGGGTACACTAAAAAATACTTCTAAAAGTATAATAAAACCCAAACCAAGTAACTAGAAAAATACAAGGGAAAAATACTAAACGTTCAAGTAGCTTCTTTCCACGGTCTTTGAAAATTGGAGACCATCACGTATATATGTGGGTTGGGTAAAAGGTCAGTTGAACTTCCTCTGATTCATGCTATAGCTAAGCTTGTTTTTGTTAGGTGGCTGAGGCCTGCTGGAGCAGGCTTCAGTTCTGTACCTTACCAGGGGCCTCTGCTGGCCACACTGAGCTCTACAGTCTGGCCTGGAGAGGTTCTCAGACACTTCCCAGACTGTCCAGTTCAGCCCCTCTTGGAGTGTTACGCTATGGCTGGGAATTGGTTCTCAAGATACATTCGGAGTGGGGGAAGCCAGCACATCACTGAGATCTGTACAGGGAGAATTGTTCCCATACTTTCAAAGTCTATTAAATGTTCATCACCGTGCTAGTACATGAAGCTTTGATGCCAAGTCTTACACTGGGGCTTTGAAGTTTAAACTCAATAGCACTGAACCTCATGGCTGGCTTTAGAAGCTAGTCTACTGCAGTCTTCTGGCCCAGTCTTAGTTGGGGTTACTATTGCTGTGATGATACACCATGACCAAAGGCAAGTTGGGAAAAAAAGGGTTTATTTGGCTTACACTTTCATATCATAGCCCATCACTGAAGGAAGTCAGGACAGAAACTAAAACAGGGCAGAAACCTAGAAGCAGGAGGTGATGCAGAGGCCATGGAGGAGTGCTGCTTATTGGCTTGCTCATTCAGCTTTCACTACCAGCTCAAGGATGGCCTCAACCACAATGGGCTGGGCCCTCCCACATCAATCAGTGAACACCCCATAGGCCTGTATATAGCCTGATCTTATTAAGGCATTTTCTCAATTAAGGCTCCCCCCCCCCCTTCAGTGACTCTAGCTTGTGTCAAGTTGACATAAAACTAGACAGCATACCCAGGGCTACTGAACTCCTTACTATCACTTATTATTTGATGAGGTCTGCTTCCAGGTATGGTGGGGCTACCTCTCCCTGTTCCTTTAAGTGTTGGCATTCTTGCTCTGTGTCTGTCTTCAGGTCCCTCTCACCGGAGATGGTAAAAGGTTGAGTAAAGTCATGCTAATTTGATTGTCCTATGTTCTCAGGCACCAGTTAGCCCAGTTTTACATGACAGGTTTCTCTCAAGATGACACCTAAGTAAAGCTCTCTGGGTGCTGGAAAGTGAGCGCAGGTCCTCTGCAAGAGCAGTACTCTTAACTACTGAGTCTTTTTTTAGTCCTAGGAAACCCCTCTTAATGCTAAACTATTCCAACTGGGCTTTCTTCATTTTGGTTCATTGTTCTCCTGCGTTTCAACAATTTCCAGCTGCCTCACACTCTTGCTGTCTATTTGTGAAGACACACACACACACACACACACACACACACACACACACACACACACACCTCTAGCTAAAGAAAAGAAATAAAACAAAAATTGAGATAAATAAGCCTAAAAGCAAGTTGAACTTTATTGAAGCAATTTGTTTTGTTTTGTTTTGTTTTTTTTAAATCAAGACTGAAATGTACAAACCCCAGCGGTCTAACTGCTAGAAACTTACCAATTGAAAAACCTGTTTAACAGCAAATATTGTCAGTAACTATATAACAGTTGGTAATGACAAAACCATAAAAACAGCCTGTGTGGCTCTCAGTAGAGAACCGTTTATACATACAGACAATGGATTAAAAGATAGCCATTTAAGAAACGAGGTAGACTGACATGTATGAACTGAAACGGCCTTCAAGATACACTGAGAAGCCAGGTATGTCAATGGGCTAGGAGCGCAACGTCATCCTCAGCTACACAGAAAACTTGAGGCCAGTCTGGGTTACAGGAGATTATCTGAAAACAAAAACAAAAACATACCAAACCAGAAAAGTAAAAACATTGATTAAAAAGAAGAAAAAGCATCTTGGGCTAGAGAGAGAACTTCCTTCCACTTCCAGAGGACCCAAGTGCATTTTCCAGCAACCACACTGGACAGCTCACAATCACTTGTAACTCCAGCTCCAAGCCACCCAACACTCTCCCCTGGAGAGCATCTGTGGGCACCTGTGTACACACGGTGCGTGTGCACACAAACACACACACACACTCTTTCTCTCAAGCAGCTATTTAATAAAATATACATTAAGTATCCAAAAAGGGAAGGCACTGAATGGACAGGAAGTGCGTCAAAGGGAAACTGTATCAGAACACACTGGTATACTACAGTCTTTTCTTCAGAAGAATTATCAGCAGGGGCACCAGCGGGATGGCTTAGTAGGTAAAGACTCTTACTATAAAGGCTGATGACCTAAACTTGATTTCCATGACCCCACATGGTAGAAGTAAAGAGATGCCTGCAAATTGTCCTCTGACCTCTACACACACGCACATGAAGACAAAATAAAAATGTAATAAAAAAGTAAAAACCAAAATACCATTAACTGCGATTATTTTTAGATAGTTGAATAAAAGGTAGGTAAAATGGTGGGAGTTATACTTTTCTTGTTTTAGTATTAAATTGGTAACATTATTTCAATAGGGGAAAATGTATAGATAGAACTGTTTTTTCTTTGTATTTAAAAAAAAACAATAATTATTTACATACACACAATGATGTTAAATCAAAACATAGTTAAAGAATAAAAACATACATATATACACAGATGCACTTAATTTGAACTCAGGGACATGCCTAGACTTTTTATGATTTTTTTTTTTTTTTTTTTTTGAAGCAGGTTCTCACGCTGTAACTCAGGCTGGCCCTGAGTTGTGCGGCAGGCAGCACAGGAGGACCCTGAACTCATGATCTTTCCGCCTTCACTTCTAAAGTGCTGGCATTACAGGAACCCGACCTTGACTGATGCTGACTGTTTTAAAGTTAACACAGTCACTTCACATTACTGGAGGATATGAAGCGGTGTCATGAGCATTCTTTAAAACTCACAAGTCTCCATACCACATGTTCACACAATATCAAGGGGCCCAGGAAGACCTTCCCAGCGTCTCTCGCTTGAACGCCAGTCTAACTCCACATGATCTTTCTGTGCTTTACAGCATCACACTTCCGCTTCGGAGGCTGGCCTTCTGATCAGGTCACCAAAGTATGCAGTGATCGTCTTCAATTTGTTGTTAAGAAAATTCTGTTCTATTTCCACTTGCCCTCCAGGCCCAGCCAATGATGCCACCTGTGAGGCAAAACACACAAGTCATACATACAAGCAGAATTAATTTCTTTCTTTTGTCTTGAGGCATGGTCTCATTAAATAGCTCTGGCAGGCCTACTTGCCATGTAGATCAGGCTGTCCTCAAACTCATACCTGCCTCTGCTTCTGAAGATTAAGGTGTCCACTATCATGCTCAGCACAAACATGACTTTCAAAACAGCTCTCAAGCCCAACTATACCATCAGTAAGAGGAAGACTGCCTTTATAATCCAATAATCCGTGCAGAGGACTCATATGAATGTCAGAGGTACTATCCACCAAGCTGGTATATAGCTACAATGTGGCACAGTTAATTTAATACCAAGTCTGTATCCCCTCCATACGCCCAACCCCACCCCACCTTTAACACTCTTTTATGCTTCTGGTATCTGGGCCTGAAGTAAGGGTCTCCCATCTGCTAGAACAACGTCACAGTATTTACCATATGGATATGGTTTTAAAATGTATTTCTACTGTTAGTTTAATGCGGAATATTTTGATCTTTCATTAACTGAAACATTTAGAAACTAGTAAGGCTCTAATTTTCTACTTTAAAAATGCTAATGAACTGAATTTAGTTGTAGTCAAAATATTTTCCCAATAACAGAATCATGTAAGATACTCTTAAATAGTTCTAGTTATTCAGATGCACACTAGATTTTTACATAGCACGTTTTAGAAATATTTTTAGGGCTGAAAAAAGTGGCTCAGGTTAAAAGTCCTTGCTGATCTTGAGTTTGGTTCCAGCGCCCATGTTGGGCAGCTCACATCTGTAACCACAGTTCTAAGGGTTCTGATACTTTTTCTGCCTTCACGTGCCACCCACATACACGGCATACATTCAGACACACTTTAAAAGAAAACCAAAAACAAACAAACAAACAAACAAAACAACTTTGGAAGTATTTTCAATAACATCCTTATTCTTCTCTACCTATCTACCTTCCTGCTTATAAGTCAATGAACATAAGATGTTTTGAACAAATTAGTTTTGGTTTTATAGTGTGAGATTGGATAACAAGGGTTACATGTCTAGAACAACTCCAAAAGTAAAAGGGAACAAGAGGAGAGGTTAAGGCAACAGGACACCCAAAAAATATTTTACTGGCTAAAATAAATAAATGAATGAATGAAAAATCAATGGGCATCATCTCCTACATGGAACATTTTTTTAAGACAGGTTCTATGTGCATACTCAGTTTAGTAGTGAGTAGAATGTAGCATATCCACTCTGAAATGGAAATTAAATGCCTGCTACAGATCTATTTAGAGAAAAATGCAGCCTGAATTTCAAATGGCAGGCTCATAACCAACTCCTCCTATATTTTCAAGCTTGCATTTCAATCTCCTTTCATGTTAAAAACCTCACACATGGATATATTTTCTGCTAAAAAAGAATGGACTTCCCAGTGCAGCTATTTCAACTATTTCAGCTAGTTCATGCCAAGCACTTTCCTTTCTCATGTTCTAGTGTTACTACTCCCTCTAGAGGCAAACAAAAAGCAACTATGGAGTCCAATGCTGGGCGCTTGTGGATGGTGTCTACATGGGTGCTCACATTTAAGTGAGACGTGAGGGTATGAAAATGTGTACACGTATTGCGTTGAGGGCGTTGAGGGCAGAATTTGACAACCGGTATTTTCCTTTTCTCAACTGCTCTTCACCCACTTTACCAAAGGAACCATCTCCCCAGTTCCCATAAGTCTAATTCTGACAGATTTTGAGGGTAAAACAAAAGTAAAAAGCAAGCTAATTTTTCTTTGTGTTAAAATAAATTTAATCACTGAAACTTTCATATTAAAATTGGCTTTCTAGCCAGGCTGGGATGGCACTCACCTTTAATCCCAGCACTTGGCAAGCAGAAGCGAGCAGATCTTTGAGTTAAAGGCCAGCATTGGACTATAGCCAGTGCCATCACATAGAGAAATCCTGTGTCAGGGGAGTGGTTATTGCCACTGAAATACCCAAAATGAGTCTGTACTATTAAGGACCAAGATTTAGCCGATGAAGATCATATAGCCTTCGGCCAGTTTTGGAGCATCATGGTTGCCTAAGTCTAGAAAGCAGTTACAGAAGTAACAGATAATGATAATAGGTTCAACATCAAGGCTGATGAGGACACGGATGACATTCACACATTCTATCTTGGGAGGCTTAATGCTTGGCCAAGTAGATCATAAATAATGACAATTTCATTTCCCTCTAACTCAGCCAAATTCATTTCCTCTAACTTAGTCTAAGCACTCAGCTTTTTCATTTAATCTTTTTATAACCCTGAGAATGTCAACTATGGAGGACATTATAATTACTTGGGGAGCTAAGAACAATTTATGCTTGGGCCTCATCCTAGAAAATAAGATAGAGAATTTTTCTTAGTAGATTAGGGTTATCCTTAGTGGATAGAAAAATCTATTCTTTTAAGACTCTTAGATAAGATTGAGAAAACACAGGTAAAACATACAAACTGAACGTGATAAGAAATGAATATACATGAGTTGAAAGGACAGACAGGTGACTTAGAAGGAAAAAGTAAAGTCTAAAACAGTAAAATTATACAGAGGACCAACATGAGGTAAACAGGTGCTCTAATAAAAGGACAAGAGATGGTGAGGACAGTTAAAATTGTTCCTGGTCAAGTTAAAGGCAGCCTACTTCCTTATTTTTCCCCTTCCTACTCACAGTGACCCTCCTGTTTTTGCCAAGTGCTGTATTATGAGCCAGTACACCTTACCTCTTTAGCAGGGTTACTATTTTCTAAAATATAGTAAAGGTGGGCCTTTACTCTCCTGATGTAATTGTAGTCTCTGGGCTTACTGCCTCTGTGTGCTAACCTAGGCCTATTCTGAAGTCCTCTAACCTCCATACAATCCAATCTAAGCCTAGAATGCTCTCTCAGCCTTTGAGACTTACTGCTGAATAACCTCATCCTTTCTACAGAATAAGTTCACCCTTTCTAGTTCTTTCTGAACTCTGGTTGGCTAGTTCAACTCAGCTGTTCCTTTTTAGTCTCTGCTCATTCTGTCTTCACCCGTGTCTAGCTTGTCCTGACTTCAATCTGTCTCTGTAAAACTCTTGTAAAAACTGCCTCTGAATTCCAAGAACTAAACTTCCATGAACTCAACTCCACTGCACTGCTTCTCAACTCATTAACTCAACCAAACTGATTAGAACTCAGATCTCCATGCCTCTGTCTCCTAAGTGCTGGGATTAAAGGTGTGTAGCACTAAGCCTGTACATAAGCTTTTCTTTACCTGAAACTTGCTTTATACCAGGCTGGCCTTGAGCTCAGAGATCTGCTTGCCTGTCTCCTGGGATTAAAGGCGTGTTTGTATTCCAGGCAGATCACATAGACCTAGAAGGTCTTTGGATGTGATATTTTGCCAGAGCAGCCATGTTCTGAATTAAAATTCTTCTACAGGTCTTGGACAGCTGCCAAGAAGCCTCTGTAACATGACATCATTAGTCATCCTGTCAATCCAACTTCATCCTCCTCCTCAGGAGCTATGGTGGTAGAGGGATGGAAGAGACAAGACAGGGACTTCTCACAGCAGGTTCTCTAGTAAGGAAATTACCCCATATCCTTGTCTGCCCATCCTTCCTAACAAATAAGCAGAGGCGCACAGAATCTCCTCAGCAATGGCTTACCTGGTCAATATCAGCGTTTCTTGGAAGAAAATAAACAATATTATTAGTGATCTTTTGAGAAAGCCTGAAAATTTCAAAGGTAACCAACAGTTAAGGATAAAAAGTTAATTTCTGAGCAGAAAGAGACATTCATTTTTCATGCATCAAGTGCACGCATTTACATTCCGAGAATTAGACACAAGATTTGGAATCCAGCAACAGCACCTGATTATTAGATTTAGCTGCTTTTAGTATAAGGTTTTGCACGCTGAAGACCACTTCCTATAGACCTGAGGTTCTGAAGAAACTTTCAGTTTCTACTAATTCCAAATAGTAAGTTTATCTATAATTCTCAAAGCAGGTTTAGTAGGGCAGACCTAGACCTTGGGAATTTGACTGTACAGCATTTATATCATGAATCAGCAGCCATCCTGTCAAGCCATCTTCATGAAACTAGCAAATCCTGTTTTTTCCCCATACTCAGGAGCTATAGCTTATGTCTTGCTTTACAATGGCTAGTAACAGAGATCTACGTACATCCATACATACTACATCTATTGATCAACTGACACATAATTTTTACAGTGTATGTTTGTTTGTCATACAAATCTTTACAGTGTTTGTTTTTATTACTGTTATTATTAGAGTATGTGTACATGTGGTTCCTGGGTGTATCAGTGGAAAACTCTCTTCTTGTACCTTTACATGGGTTCTGAGACTCAAGTTCGGATTGCCAGGTTTGTGTAGCAAGTGCCTTTACCAGCTGAGACATTTGGCTGGCTCCACACGAATTGTTTTCTGGGTGAAACACAAAGGAATTCATCAAATGTGATTAGCTAATACCTTTCTCTCTCCACGCGCGCGCGCGCGCGCGCGCGCACGCGCACACACACACACACACACACACACAGAGAGAGAGAGAGAGAGAGAGAGAGAGAGACCTTTCCTCTCTGAAAGTATTTGTTAGGTCTTCCAAAGGATATCCATCAGGAGACATCATCGTCCTAATGTCGAAGGTCTCTGCAGTAGCATAATCTGGACCCCCCCAAGGCGGGCTTAGGAACACAACATCAGCCTTTAAACATGGAGCCAACAGCAGGAAATCTCCACATATAAACTCTATCTTATCTGCTATCCCATAAACTTCTGCATTATTCCGAGCAAGATCAATCTTAACAGGGTCAATATCAATGGCAATCACTAAAAATACAAAAAGAAAAAAAAAGGTCTTTAACATTTTGATGGTTTTCTGAATAAAGCACTTTGAAGAAAAAAAAAAAAGACTTAAGAGACGTGCACACAAAAATAAAAATCTTAGTTAAAATTTATTTAAATTAAAAGGGTTCACATGTAGTTTGTACCAAGAAAACATTATCTAAAGAACATGTTATCTTGCCCAGCCATCAAAGCATGGTCTTTGGGGGGGGGTGGTGCTATATACAGTTGGAGCAATAAATGCTTATAAATGCTGCTACCTGCATGTAAAGCTCAATATTGGCTTCCAGAAAAGACCAATTTCCTTAAACTAAGTCAATGTCTCTAGTCCCACATGCTGCCAGAGTAGAGCCTATGTCATTACAGCACTAGGAAGACCCAGTGTTAGCTACCTACTTCCTTTTCTTCCCAGGGTCTAGTAATCTGTAAAGGCGAGTGAAAAAATGACACAAAGAGGCTACAGAACAGTGGTTCTCAACCTTCCTAATGCCACAGTCCTTTACGACTATTTCTCATATTGTGGTGACCCCAGCCATAAAATTATTTTGTTGCTACTGTATAACTGTAATTTCACTACTGTTATGAATCATAATGTAAATATCTGGTAACCTACAGGTTGGGAACCATTGCTATAGAGGGAATCAACAGTAAGAACATGGCACTAGCCTTCCTTTAAGATCCACATTAAATATCTTTCTTTACCAAATGTGTGCTAAGCTACATAAACCCTACCATAAACCTTATCAATTAAGAAACTAATCTATAATACACACATTTTCCATGATATTTAGAGAAAATTTCCAGACTTGTTTATCATATTGTAATCACTGTCTTATAACAAAATGCTAAAAGGGAGAATTTGATAACTTCTGAGGAAAAATATTTTATATATATATATACTTTATATATATTTATTATGTATATACATATATATATTTTCACCTGAAAAAAATATTGCTTGAAAATATATATATGTGACTTATCTGAAAAAAAGATCCTGAGAATTTTAAAATCTTGAATTAGTGGAGGACAAGAAAATAATTACTTTTCTGATAAATGTGAAAGCTGTTTTTATCTAGGTTACTGGGAAAGCATGTAAAGTTAGCAAATATCCTGCATGCCTGGAGCACAAGCGTAGCAGAATCAAGATCATAGCTTATCAGCTCTGGTCTTAAAACTAATGGGCAAATTTAGACATCATTTTTCTGACTTCTCTACTCTGCTTCCAGATTCATATTTTGCTTTCCCAATTAACATTAAAAAGTTTAAGGGCTCTATGAGGCTACATCTTCAGTCCCAGGTATTTAGAAAACATCATTTTTTGAGGGGCCAGAGGCATGGTAATTTCTGTAGCTCACTTCAGTTTCAAAAATGTGCAGCCTTTCTTCTTGTCTCCCAGGTGCTCATATGCACCCCCACATTCCATGAGAACATCCCATGAATTTTTACTTTGGGTTGTGAGCCTATCCTTTAACAGCTGGTCAAGCTCTCTAGCCCTCCATGAATTTTTACTTTGGGCTGTGAGCCTATCCTTTAACAGCTGATCAAGCTCTCTAGCCCTCCATTAATTTTAAAAAGCATTTACTTCTTTATTTATGTATGTGGTGGAAAAAGCTCTTGCTCGCTGAGTTACCTCACTGGTCCAAACAGTCAGAATGTTTTGGAGCTTTGGGTTTTATAGTTGAAAAGTATCCTAAGACTATGTGAATTCAACGTGTCCTTCAAAATTGAATTATGTCAAGAGTCATAAAGCCACTGAGTCAGAGATAAAGCTTGTTTTCCCTATCCATTGCTCAATGATTCTAACAACCACTACATATTATTTTTATATAGTGCTAGAATCTTGGCTCCAGAGATGAGTAGGTGTGTCCATAAAATCCTGTGCAATTACTCATCTTTTTATGTCTTAAAAGACAGTAAAAGATGTAATTTATGACTGTTGACTAAATGAATACATTGTGAAGTACTTGCTAAACAAAGTATGCAAGATGAATAATAAACACAGTAGGTTATTGCTTGAATATTTGGTATAAAATTATTAATTATATATTAAATTTCATCAAAGATACGAACAAAAAGAATATTCTCTGCATAAATTGAAAGCAAAGCAGTTCTTGGCCATGAACGACTATATTACCTCTTTTCCCTGTTAAAGCAAACTGAATGGTATTTCCTCCAACTCCACAGAAAGCGTCTACTACAATGTCACATTTGAAGGACTGACTGACACGGCCAGCAATGTGCTCGGCAATCTTCTCAGGCGTAACCGAAAACCAGCCCTCTGTAAAGGGAGAATATTTTGGCAAAACGTTCAATTCTAAGAATCCAAGCATGAAAAAGAAACCATATTGCACAAGTTAAAGAAACTTCGTTTGGGATCTAGAGAAATGGCTTAGCAGTTAGGAGCTCAGTTAAAAGCTTGTACCGTATAATATAGGGTAACTATACTAAAATCTGTACACCTAAAGAAACTAATCAAGAAGGAGAACCCTGGGTAGGATGATCCACCCTCATTTAGAAAGGCAAATGGGATGGATATTGAAAGAGGGAAAAAAACAGGGAACAGGACAGGAGCCTACTAGAGAAGGCTTTTGAAAGACTCTACCCAGCAGGGAATCAAAGCAGATGCGGAGGCTCATAGCCAAACTTTGGACAGGAAAACTTAAGAAAGAAGGGGGAAGTTTGAAAGACCTGGAGGGGACAGGAGTTCCACAAGGAGAGCAACAGAACCGAAAAATCTGGGCATAGGGGTCTTTTCTGAAACTGATACTGCAACCAAGGACCATTCATGGAGATAACCTAGAAACCCTGCACAGATGTAGCCCATGGCAGCTCAGTGTCCAAGAGGGTGCCCTAGTAATGGGAACAGGGAGTGTTTCTGACCTGAACTCAGCGGCTAGCTCTTTGATTACCTACCCCTGAGAGGGGAGCAGACTTACCAGGCCACAGAGGAAGACAATACAGCCAGTCCTGATGAGATCTGATAGATTAGGGTGAGATGGAAGGGGAGGAGGACCTCCTCTATCAGTGGACTGGGGGAGGGGCAGAGGAGAAGGCGAGGAGGTGGGCTTGGGAGGGGACGAGAGAGGGGGCTATAGCTGGGATACAAAGTAAATAAACTGTAATTAATTAAAAAAAAAATTTAAAAAAAAGCTTGTACTGCTCTTTTAAGGGGCCTGTTAGTTCCATGTCCACAGAGGGTGGTGGGCTGGAACCACCTCGAACTTCAGCTCTACTGGATCTGATACCCTCATCTCTCCACCATACTCAGGGTGCACCCTGTACCCACACACACACACACATGAAAACCACGAACTACCTACCTTTAGAGAAAGGCTCTGCAAAGTGGCTAATTCCTGATTCATTTGTAAGATATCCATATTTCTCTGGCAATCATATATAAGCACAACTTTTCTCTTTAAGGCACTAACTACTGTTTATCAGCTATGGTAATCGGCAAGTTCTAACTGGCTAGCTGTTTCCTTTATGGTGAGTTTCTCAATTATTTTATTCACATCATAGAGATAACGACTCAGATTTCTATTGACATTGTGAACATTTACATGTTTTCAAAAAAATTTATTATTATTTATAAGTGCTTTGCCTTTATGTATCTGACCACAGTGTACATGCCAAATTTCCATGTTTTAAATGTCAGAAAAATAACAAAAGAGTAATAGCCAGTGACCAGGAGGCTGCTTTAGCACAATAGGAATAGCAGAATCTTTGCCATCTTCAGAAATGAAGCTACATTTACCTGGCAGAAAGAAAATACCACCCTGCCTTTCTACCAGAAAAAGCCTACTTTTCTCAGAAACTTCTTTGAACAAAATGATGTGTAAGTTTTCCTGTTCTCACTACTTACTAAAAGTTTAAAAGGCTCTCTATTACCTGAAGAAGGTAAACTTTTATTTTTTCCCCTAATAAACTTCCATATACTTTCTGTAGCACACACTATATTACAAATTATATAGGTGGTACAGAATCACCAACACTCTACAATACATCAAGGCCTCCAGATTTTGATAGTTAATAAAGAAAGATATTTAGTTAGTTTCAATATGAAAATCAGTGTTAGGCTGTGAGACTAAATTAAGTCTTTTTAAGATCAGGGAAGGGGGGCTCAAGAGATCACTCTGCGATTAAGACTACTGGTTGCTTTTCCAGCGATCTTGAGTTCAATCCCCAGCAACCATATGGTGGCTCCCAACCATCTGCAATAAAATCTGATTTCCTCTTCTGGTATGCATTAAAACAGAGCACTCATATACGTAAAATAAATAAAAAATCTTAAAAAACAAAGATCGGAGAAGGAAAATTCAATGAAGATTTCAAGCTTTCAGTGCTAATTAATTAAATTATAAATTTCTACATTAGGAATGTCTTCATCAGATATTCTTTTTAATAACCTACATACTTTTGCTACCTTGTATAAGATGCTACACATACCGATTAAATCTAAAATTAAAACATAAATTTTTGTATATATATGTAATTGAGTGATACTACACAGAACAATGAAAAATATTCCTTAAAAATGTCAAAGTCATGTTGGGGACCTGCCTCAGTGGAAGAGTACCTGCCTGGCTCAAGTGAAGCATGAGAGTCTGAGGAACTACTACACATTAAAGGAAGCTAAGGCAACATGAAAACTAATGCACAACATGCTCCTTTATGGTAACAGAGAGAACTTACTATTTTTCATTTATTTTCTTGTTCTAATACGGACCAGTCCCAGGCCTTGATTAGTATCACAGCAAAAATCTTGTTCTTAAAAAATGTACTCAAAATTAAAATCGGGGAGTGGCATGACATGGAATTGGATCAGAGAGACAACACGCACACAGAATGAATTTTGTAAATGTCAGAAATAGCTATATCCTGCTGAAAAGGATATGAAAATTTCGTTTTACAACTTTTCTGTGTATCTGAAGTGGCATCTAAATAAAGCCTCACAACACACCTGTATTGTATTTACCTTTGTCCAACTTGATCCCATCATCAAAACGAGAGAACAGCCTGTATCTCTGGGCCCAGTATTTTGCCAGCTCTGGAACAGAGGCTATTTCAGGTGGCAGACCATTTATCCTTTTGTTCTTGCCTTTTTTCTTCTTTTTCTTCTTTTTTATTTCAACTAAATAAGATACAAATAATACAGACGCTGAGTATGTAAAGAGAATGAACAAAGGAATTCCCAAGAAGCAGCAACATCAAATCATCACAATTTTGGACTGTACCAGCATACATAAGGCTACACAGAGAAGTACAGAACAAGTACAGAGCAAGAATACCACCACTTCAGATCAAAGCTTCCCTGTCAATTTGTTAGCTTGAGAAAACTCTATTTGTTTGGACCTTGGTCTCTGCTGCCACACTGTTCCTGGCATTTACTAATTCTTTCTTTGTTTTATTTCTTTTTATTTTATGTGTATTGGTATTTTGCCTACATGTGTATCTGCGTGAGAGTGTTGGAACCCCTAGAGCCAGAGTTACAATTGTAAGCTGCTGTGTGGGTGCTGGGAATTGAACCCATCCTCATCCTCTGAATGAGCAGCCAGTGCGCTTAACTGCTGAGGATCTCTCCAGCCCTCTAAACTCTAAGTTCTTATTCCTACACAAGGAACAGATGAATTAATACATATTATTTTACTAACTTCACTTACACCACTGATGGGGGATAACAGATAAACATTTGAAATCCTCCAAAACCAGAATCATGAAATACATCTGGTCCCCACTATGTCAAATACAGAATATTCAGCCCATATAATAAAGACACTAATACAAAATTATCGACAGCCACAACAGTGCTTTAGTTGGTGAATTTCTTTACTCCTTTTGTTGTTGCTGGCCTGGGGAATTGAACCTGTGGTAGGCAAACATTCTGAACTACATCTTCAATCACTTTTTAAATTTTTATTTTGAGTAGGGTCCTTAATTTGTCCAGGCTAGTGTTGAACTTGTGGCCCTCTTACTTTAGACTCCTGAGGAGGAAGGTAATGTTCAGCCTTTTTCAATTTAAAGACAAAATCTTTCCAAGGCCAACTAAATTCTAGCACTGGCCATATAAATTTTAGAGAACACAAGATGCCTCTGAAGTATGGTCAAATTCCAGTCAATAATTATTTAGATAAACAATTATTGGTTGAGTATTAGGTTTCAGTCTCCAGAAGATTAGAAGCAGCCATGCAGCAATGTTTAAAGAAGAGTGGGCTGAACTTGGTGGTGCACGCTTATAATCCCAGCACTCAGAGAGGCAGAAGCAGGTGGGTTTCTGTGAGCTTGAGGCTAGTCTGGTCTACAAAGTGAGTCCAGGACAGGTGAGACTACACAGAGAGGACCTGTCTCAAAAAACAAAAGAAAAAAAAAGATGAAGAGTGGTAGGGTACTGCAATGGAATTAAACCAAGAGTACAACTGAAAAAGAATAAAGCTCTGTTAGATTTAAATGTTTTCTAAGGATAGGACTATGTCCTACTCTGGCCATCAGGTCACTGCAAACAATCAAAAGTGTTGAGGGAAAAGTACTGCTTTCACCCACTTCGGCCAGCTACATGTAGATTAAGAATTCAAGTGGCAGATGAATGTCAGCTTAACATCGGTAATGAAAAACCATAAAACACCTGAAGTCTATACGGTACAAAGGCAGGAGATAGGTAACAGGAGACTTAGGTACATGTGTGCCCACACAAAGGAAAGGAATCAACTAGATTAAATGTGCTGGCTTAGTTTTACATCAACTTGACATGAGCTAGACTAATTTCAGAGGACGGAATATCAATTGAAAAACTGCCTGCTAAAGATGGGGCTGTAGTCAAGCCTGTAAGCAATTTTCTTCGTTACTGATTGATGTGGAAGGTCCCAGCCCATGGGTGGTGCCACCCCTGGGCTGGTGGTTCTGGATGCTATTAATAAGCTAAGCAAGGCAGTAAGCAGCACTCCATCATGTTCTTTGCATTCTTGCTTCCATGTTCCGGCCTGGGTTGAATCCCTGCCTGGGCTTCTCTAAAAGAACTGTGATTCAGGATATGTAAACCAAATAAACCCTTTCTTCCCCAACTTACCTTTAGTTATGGTGTTTCATTGATACAACAGTGACCATAACTAAGAGATGAAGCTATGGGCTGGAGAGATAGTTTGCCAGTTAAGAGCACTGGCTGCTCTTCCAGTAGGTCCTGAGTTCAATTCCCAGCAACCACATGCTGGCTCACAACTATCTGTGATGCAATCTGATTCTCTCTTCTGGTGTGCACATACATAAATTAAGTAAGATCTTAAAAAAAGATGAAGCTACTCTAACAGTGAAAGGGAAGGGCCATAATATAGTTATTATAGAAGGACAAACATGGAGCATTTCAACAAAATGAATACTGAACTAAGTAAAAACACTTATCTGCAATGTTCCACCACTTTCATCTGTATTTATAAAGGAATTTTAGCTACTAAAAATGTTAGTTTTTTTATTTATTAGCACCAAGTACTACAAATATATTTTGTTAATGTTCTATCAAGACCTCCCAAACCATTACAAAAGCAATTATCAAGAAGAAAATGAGTGCTTCAGCGATTTCAATAGGAACATACCATTGTCAGCCAGGGACAGAGTGATAGCAGAGATCAAGGTCCACACAGTTTTCTCATGTTTACCTAGATTTGATCCAGCCTGATGAACCAAAAGTGAGGAACACTCACAGAACCAATCACAGCCATTAGCGCATTCACATTAACACACATTCTCTCTACTTGAAAGAATCCCGAGGCATAAATGCTATCAAAGTGTGAACAAAGGACACACAAAGGCAAGTGCATTTATTTACCTTCTGTTTCTGTGTGGGGAGAGTTTGTTATTTCTTCAGCTACACAACCCTGCTTCTCTGGAACAGTTGCTACCAAGGAGGCCCCTTCACTCTTTTCTGCTTCAAATTCACTGGCTGAAGAGATAGTCTGACATTTTTCAGGATCTGGATCTCTGGTCTCCATCAGGTCATCAGCTTTCTCCAAGGACAGGTCTTTTTCCTCTGAGTCACTGCTTGTGCAAGTGTCTTGTGTTTTGTTGTAAGAAAGAGACTCCTGTGACGTCTCCTCACCTACTGGTTCATTAACCCATTTTAGGAATTTTTCCACCTGAAATTTTAAGATACCATAAAGAACATCAATTAACTATAAAGACAACAGAATCTTCTCACCTTTTACAATTTGTGACTTGATAACAAGCCATCATAATTATTAGCTTGGAGAAATACATGTATCATACAAGCTACAAGTAATTCTGGGCGATCTGGAATTCAGGAGAGCATCCTATAACCTTAAGAATTCCTTTAAAAGAAGTTACATGGCGTCAACAGAAGAGTGCCAATTTGTCTTTAAAATAAAATCAGAAGGTACCAGAAAGATAGGTGAAGGCTGCAGAGATAGCTCAGCAAATAAGAACATACACTGCTCTTGCAGAGGATTTGGTTCTGTTGCCAGCACCCACATGGCAGTTCCTAACTCCAGTCCCACGGGATCTCATGCCTTCTAGTCTACACAGGTATGTGTACACATGGTAAATATGCACATATATGCAAAAAACTCAGAAACATAAATAAACCTAAACATAAAACAAAACTCAAATCAGAGCTATCTCAGAATAAGTAAGAACAGCAGAGCTGGTAAGTTCTAACAAAATAAGTGTATTTGCTGCGATGGTACAGTAGCCCAAGGTTGGATGAGGTAATTCCTTGCATTTGCTGTACAATGAACCTTCAGGATGAGGAAATTTCAAGGAGTGGCACATAAATGATAAACTAAACCTGACACTCTGAGAAGGGCCACTTATCTGCATCCAAGAGAACTAAGGACACCGCAACCATTACATACACCTGTTTCTTTATTCATCTATAGGTAAATATAAGGGAATTATTACTCCCAAAACATTACAAAAAGTCTTAAAAGACTGACTCTAGGAAGTCTATTTCATATGTAAAAAAAAGAACCACTAAAGTATTCATGAAAAGATCAGCCTTAACAAATCTGAAAGAAAGAAAGAAAGAAAGAAAGAAAGAAAGAAAGAAAGAAAGAAAGAAAGAAAGAAAGAAACTACCTATCAATTCATAGCATGTTTTGCCAGAATGCTTAAGTCAGAAAGTAATGATGGTACAACACAGTCCTTCAGAAGTCTGAGATTGTGTTCCCTGTCCTTAAAGGGAGCTGGTGGCAACCTCAATTTCTGCTCCTCAGAAATGCTCCATCCTTAGTAGGATAACTCACCCAATCAAAGGATACTCTAATACATTTGCTTCCCATTTCTTGAAAGCAAAGTCCAAGAGGAGTCTTGCAACTATCAGAGTACAGCGTGAATGTACAAACTGTGCTTGTACTTTACACTCTTGGGTAAAGTTTATTTTTCAAAGTGTGATCAATCTTTGGATGAGCTCAGAATCAGACTTGTAGTCTAAAACCACATCAGAATCTATACTAGGATTCTCCTTTGTGTGAAAAAGGTTAAGAAAATTACCTTTGTTTTTGTCTGTGGTACATGGGCAAAATGATCTGTCTTACCTTCTTAGATGCTCTACCTTTTTAGTTTTCAAACATTCTTTTCTTCACATTATCTCAATTTCCTTCCCCCCCCCCTCAAATTGGTAAAGCTAGTAGAAAATAATTTGAGGTATCCTTCAATCTTGGAGGGTGAGACTTGCCATTTGAACACAACTTTAAGGAGGCAAGTGGTGAACTGTGATTCTGTCTCAGCTGAGGCAAGCTTGTGCCCACCTTACTCCGCACTTTACTCTTCTTGAGAAGTGGTTTTCCAGGCTCCTCGGTGAACAGCACGTGCTTGTTTTTCACAGTCATCCGCTTGCGCATATCCAGGTACTTTGACTTGTTTTTCACGTTCTTCTCTAGATACCTGACCCGTCGATGACTAAAATTTGGAATTCCACCATATCTGGAGCAGACCAAGAAAAGTGACTCATATTAAGTTCTACAAAAATTTCCCCATAGAGGAAAAACAAACAAAACAAAAAACCCCAAACACCAAAAACCCCCAAGTAGTTTTTACTAGTATTTGCTAGTTACAGCTACCATTTAACCCTAATAAATTTTGAGAATGATGAAACCACACAATATCTGTAGAAGAGTTTAGAATCTAGTTTTTATGAGAATTTAAAAGCAAACATGAAGGCAGATTTCTGAGTTTGAGATCAGCCTGGGCTACAGAGAATTCCAGGACAGCTAGAGCTACACAGAGAAACTATCTTGAAAAACCAAAAACCAAACAAATAAACCCCAAAACACCACTATCACCACCAAAACAAAATATCAGAAGCAAAAATGAAATACCAATGATGAGACTAGAAGGTTATTATTTCCTATTTGAAAAAGGATTATACCATGTAGCCCAGGTTTGCCTTAAATTCTTGATTCTCCTACCTCAGATTTTTGAATGCTGGGATTACAAATGTGCACCATCACAACTAAAACACATTTCTAGTGTAATTTAGAAAGTAGAAATTACGTAACAGACTGCAATAAAGAGAAATAACAAAAACATTTTTCCTTGTTAGGGAAATTTTTCTTAGAGTGATGACAAAGACCTTAAACATATCAGGACATATTCAAATTAAGGTTAAGAATGGTCACTGAATGCTTAATTTGGAGCAAATCTGATCTAATCATCTGATTTTTTATCTGTCTGCTGTAAAGTTTTCAAGGCCTCTCCCATTTTTCTTTGAGTCAGGTTACAATAATAATAATAATAATAATAATAATAATAATAATAATAATAAAAAACAACTTATCTTTCTATTTAAGTAGAATTCTATTTCTAAATAAAAGACAAAAGATAATTCCCAAGCAATGAAATTTGCCTCCATGAGTGTATTCTACCAAGAGCCAAACAGCTAAAATTAATGCTGCCAACAATGTCAATAGATTTGATATAAACTGTTAAACTCTATCCTCCTTAGCCTAAAATGATTATACAAACCACTATTGTCTTTAGGTACCTAAGCAGGTGACTTTAAAAGCCATTTATAGAATTTTAATTATAAGCATGAACTCCTGAACTAACTGGTGTCAATTTATACATTAATCATGAGGCAGATCTCATTTTCTTTTCTTGCTAAATTCGTGATGCACAGCTTATTTAATTTGCTAACATACAGATTACTAGGACATAGTGTCTGAGTGTTTAGAAACACAAAAATTAAAAAAATGGACTAAACTGACAGTACATACTAAGGCTGTTTTATTCACTCAGTTCAATCTTCCTGTCATGACATGAAATTACCATTTACTCTTGGATAGTTATCTATTCATTCATATTTCTTTTTAAAACTTGGGTATTTAATCTGAGAAAACAGGTCTCTACACACAAATGTTCATAGCTGCTTTATGTACCAGAAAAAAAGCCATAGGCCGTTTAAAAGGCAAATGGTTGAACAATTTTTAGTATCTCCATTCAATGTATTGACTACCCCATCAGAATAAATAGGATGCAGCATAACAGACATTATACTTAGATCTTAGGAAACAACCCAGATATTGTTAATGAGTGTGGAGAAATAAATAGAGACTTTCATCGAAAGGATTAGGTAAGTGCTGTGTGTGCCAACAAGAAAGGGAATTCACAGCATACTGCTGAGAAAAGCACACTGTGAAGTATGCAGCCTACATTAGTGACTTCTAAACAAGGAAGTAATCTATGTACCTAGTTGTGAAACATTTGAATTTTCACATTTTCTAATCTTTAGAAGTACAAAGGCGTAAAGAGATGCCAGGTGCAGATTATAATTTGAAGTTCTAAGATCTGAGCTTAAACCCTCTCTCTTTGAATGTGATCTGGACTAGGTCAAAATGTCTGTGACTTACAGCTGCTTTATCTGTGAAATAGACTGGAGTAACATTTGGCTGCTACTAGGTACAACTGAGTATAGGAAATACACTGAATATACAGTACATTTCTACTATCAAGTCTTACTAACAAGAGAAGTGGGTGTTTTATTATTTGCAAATACAGTATTACAGATTAGCTATATGAATGCCAAAGAGATTGAAGGTAGTTGAAGTTATTAGGATTTCTAGAAGTTGACAGCTCTTACTTTTGTCCTGAGCCATGCTTGAATCCTAGAAGAAAACCATTGTCATCGACTTCTGAATCTGGATTTTCATCGATGTCTAATTCATGACTAAAACAAACAAAAAGAGAAAAGGAAACAATAATAAGCCACGACTTTCAGTGTGAACATATTATATAAAACCATAAAGAATGGAGACAAAGTACTTCAATCAGGATTTTTTGGATAACTTAATGTACTCAGCAGTGTTTGAAACATTCTGGCAAGCATTCATACTTTTTTAATTTAAAGATTTTGACTTAAATTATATGTATGTGTGTCTTTTATCTGTGTGTAATTGCACGTGAATACTGGTGCCAGCAGAGGCCAAAAGAAAGGCCTCAGAGCCTCTAGAGCTGGAGTTACAGTGAGCTGTCTGACATGGGTGCTTGGAACCAAACTCAGTTCCTGTAGAAAAGCAGCAAATGCTCTTAACTGCTGAACCCTAATCTTAAACTCTTAAAGTATTCTGCCTCTATTACTGAAGATGAATTTCTCTATGGAATCTTGGCTGAAGGCCAAAATTAATTTTCTGGAGTAATTTCTCTAGAGGTCTCCATAAAAGGAAACATTTGAGAAGTAACAATCAGACCAAACATTTTTTGCAAAAGAAATGTTACTGAGTAAGTTATGGGGGCTGAAAAGATGGCTGAAGTTAAGAGTACTTAAAGTGCTTTCAGAAGCCCAGAGTTTGGTTCCCAGCACTCACACTGAATGGCTCACCTGTAACTCCAGCACCAAGGGATCTGATCCTTACTTCTGGCCCCTTTGGGCACCTCATATACTACCCTCAGAATATAAACAAACCGGCAATAAGAAAACAACTCTTTAAAAAAAAGCTGTGATAACCTAGGAGAATTTACCAAATAGGCACTGGGATGGTTAGTCTTTACCATCAACTTGATCAGACTTAGAACATCTGAAAAACACACCTTTGGCTATATCGGTGAGGGTTTTCCTAGAGGTTTAACTGGGGAAAGGACCACTTCAGATGGTGTCCCAGACAGACTTAAAGCAAGAATGGAAATAGCACTTATCTCTCTTTGCTTCCTGATATAATGTAGTGAGCCAGCTCTCTCCTGTTCCTATAGCCGAAACCTTGAGTTGCTTCCGCTGACATGCGTTACCTGTCATGATGGGACCATACTTTCAAACTATGAGTCCAAAAAAGTCTCTTTCTTTAAGCTGTTTTTGTCAGATATCTTGTCTCAAAAGTGACAAGTGCCTTAAACAAGTTTAGACCCTGATTATATGACCCATAGCATCAAGCAGAATATAGCAAGAAATAACTTATAAAGTTTGTCTTTCCAAGTAAGCCAAACTCACTAAGTATTTTGAGTGCCTACTAAATCCTAGGAATATGAGCATACATCCTTTTGCCTCTAGGGACTTGTAATACACTGTGGGGCAATTAATAAGAAAAGTTTCCTACATACAGCCAATGTAGCAGTAGCAGGGCATACTTTTATGGACTACGTTACTGACACTTCAGAATTTGCTTATCATTTATCTAGATGCTGCATGGAAGACAAAAATGTCTGATGTGGAACACTACAAAGAAATATCTCCACCTACTGCTCCAGTTTCAGCACTTGGGGCACATTTGACTTTACACTATTCTAGATTGTATTGTATAGGTGGTAAACAGAAAGAGCAGTGTCTTGGGGTAAAGTTATCTTTGCTATAAAGATCTTTTTGTAAGTACCCAAGAAAAGAACTTACCTTTGTCTCGGCATTCCTATGCTTTCAATAAGAACATTTGATTGAAGTCTATTTCAGAAATAGGTTAACATATATATAAGAAAGAAGTTCAACTGCATGTGCGGGGTGGGCTGTTATCTAATCACTACTTGAATGTACTTCATTGATAGTTACTGTCATATACTGTGAGACAGCTCCAGTCAACCTAATGATATCACAAAAATTACTATCAGTCTCATTTTGTAGACGGGGAACTAAATTTTATTTAGGGTTTCTGAGTAATAGACTTAGGATATGACTCTGGGTCTAAAAGTCTTATTAATAGATTCCTCTTTTCCTTACAGTATAGTGCTACCAGGCTAAGTAATATGCAACTTACCTTCTCTTCACTTTGCTGGGCTTATGCTCAGGTGGATCATCTTCACTCTCATTTCCATCAGTCCTGTTGGAGTGTGGTCTTTCTTTATTTGTATTTGTTCCTGAAGACTCCTGAAACTCTAAAAAGAGAGAGAGAGAACACAGTGGATTTTCCCTGAAGTGTGGCAAATTTTCTATTATTTTCAAAGGCAATTAATTATATGCTATGACTCTAAGATTTAAGGTCTCATGATGTAATCATATAGTAATGTGTTATATAATAATGTTTTGGTCAAGGATACTACTGCAGATTTGAACATTCAATAGTGGTCTCATGAGATATTATCACAATTTAACTTTAAATTTCAGTGTCCTCTGATGTATGCAAAGCAATGAAATCACCTGATAATAAACCTTTCAGAACCTCATCTCCTATGTAAATGAAGCACAACTATGCTTTAAAAAGCAAAATGAAACTAGTTTGTCCAGATACATATAAAGTATCCTACAGGGCACAGCGTCACCTTTCTGATAACTGTTAACTGCTGGCAGGCACATTTTTTTTTTCTTTTTTTCTTTTTTTTTTTTAGGCACATTCTTTTCTTCTTTTAAATCAATTAATCTGTGTGGTGTGGATGGCGAGTTGGCGTGCCATGACCCGAGTTTCAGGTCACAGGATAACCTGTGGGAGCAGGTCTCTCTTGTACTAGGTAGGTTCTAGAGATTAAACTCAGGCTGTCAGATAAGTACTTTTACCTGCTGAGCCATCTCACTGACTTTGTAAGGCACACTTGTTAAGGTAGCAACATGCCAGAACATGTTCTAAGAATAGAGCAGTGTGAGGAAAATTGTGTGCTTGTGAGAAAACTCAAAAAAAAAAAAAAAAAAAAAAAGAAGACAAAGAGTCTTGTGATCTCAGTTTCTTCAAAAGAAGAACAGATTTGTTCTTGGAATGTGTTTCTATGCCCCTCCCGGGTATAGTGGAAAGGAGTAAGTTTACTTCAGTAAGTGGTTATTATTAAATGTTTATGCCTTTACAGAAAAAAGATTTTGCCATGTGTGGCTTATGCTTGTGACTGTACAATTTACTTGAGTGACTCTTCTTATCCCTCAGAGTATAAATTATCTGCTGTGAATAAAGTTGGTCATTGCACGAGACTTTAGTACATTTCATTTATTGGCTCCATTTTCCCAGGTCCCACTGCCTCTGGAGTGGGGAAACAGGGAGAGACTGGAGAGTATCCGTGACAAGAAGTAGAAAGCACACGTACATGGAAATGTAACATAGACTTTATGTTTTCATCTTAATGGGAAAAAGAAAGTATGTTAAAGTATGTTAAAACCTCAAATCCTCACTGATCTTGAAGGATGACACAAAGGAGCAAATCACAACCAACCAACATATATTTATAACTAAAGGGCAGATAATAGAAGGCAGAGAAGTTTTACTGTGTTTGAAAAGGAAAAAAAAGAGTAGAACTAGGGAAAAGAATAAAAAGGATACTATAAGGCAGAAACACAGCCTAATATACTGACCAAAATATTGCAAACTTTTGTTTTAATAAGTAGAGAATCTGTGATGGTCAGTGTCCACTGTCAACTTGACAGCATCTGGAGTGACCTAGGAGACAGGCCTCGAAGGATACCTTTGGGGAATTTTCTTAAATAGGTAATCTGTCAGAGGCAGGGTTAAAAGCTGGGTGGCACCATTTTCTGGGCTTGGGCCTGAACTGCATATAAAGTACGAGCTGACTATGAACATGTATTTCTTCCTCGCTGCAGCTGAAGTAAGACCAGCTGCTTCCATGTCTTGATGCCTTAAATTCCATGTCATGGGGTCCAAAATCTTCCTTCAACTGAGAGATAAAACAAACCCTCTCTTCCTTAAGGTAGTTCTGTCGGCAACACAAAGTTGTATTTTATCATAGCAACAGGAATGAAACCAAGACCGATGCATCAGGAATACACAGAAGAGTACCAGAAACTTAATATAAAATACTAAATAAGAAAGAATGAGTATCAAAACAGAAAGGAATAAGACTATAACAGTACAGAGAAAAGAGAAATAGAAAAGCTACACAACTCATCAAATTTCCAGCTGGGGCAAGATGATCATAAATTCCAAGACAGCCTGGCTATGTGATCATGTCTTAATACAACCTCAAAATTCTAAATGAGAAGACCAGCAATCTAAGATAAGTAACACATTTTCCTGTCAAATGCTTGCTTCCAATTCTAATTCATTTGTTCTGGAAAACTGTAAATTCACTGTAAAGTAGATTCCTAAGATATTTTCAAGTTTGTCTTTACTGGCTACAGAGATACAGATGCAAGGATTATTTCTGAGGATGAAATTCAAATCTTACTAATATAGATGGGTAATTAATATACTATTTGTGATACAGAATTAAGATAGCACGCTTTCATTAATGTGTTAAGGAGGTTCTTTGATAACCATTACTTGACTGAGTAAGTCTGGGTAATCCTACCTTGAGCCGGTTGATCCGTGTTTCTGTTCCCAGATCCGTCACTTTTCTTAGGTGTTCCATTACAGGAGTTACTTCCTCCAGAGGCAGGGCACTCTTTCCCACTGCTTAGTTCACTCAGCAGCTTGTCACAGTGCACAGAGGAATCTAACTCACTCTGTTCTACTTCTTCTGAAGTCAGAACTATGTTATTAATTCCAGCAATAATTTCATTATGGTCTTTATCATTTGAACTAGGACTTTCATCTTCAACTGTGTTAGCTGAAGATGAAAAAGACGTTAAATCCACTTTCACGCTGCTAGTATCTTTCCTGTCAACCTTTGCTTGAGATGCACAAACATCTATCTCACTGTTTTGCGAGGCAGAAAAAGTCCAACCCTGAGCTTCCCAATACTGAAACTGTTCCAAATAATACCAATATATCTGACTATAGTGTTGCTCCCATTCTTCCTTTGTATCAGGAAGGTTCCAAGGCTCAGAAGAGTGGGTCTGATCTGGGTATTTTTCCTGCCAGCTTTGCCACAACAGCCCTTCTCCATACTCACTCCAATACTTCTCCCAATTCTCTGTGACCTCTAGCTTTGGTGACACTGTACTGTCAACAGGAAGGCCTTCTGCTTCAGTATTTGTTTCCCTCTGAATTTCACATATTCTGTTGTCCTCACAGTGTTCAACTGAAGATGGATCATCTGAAGCTAACAGGTCATCTTCTTCATAGTCATTTCTCCAAGATTCCAACACCATTTTATCTAAATACTTCTTTCGGTGTTTTCTTCTTTTTTGCTTTACTTTATTTCTTGTATTCATAGACGCCTGAATCAGATAAATGGTATCAAGTCTGAGTCTGTTTGAAGATTAGCATGACCAAAATCATACCCAAACTCCCAGTGTGGGTGTTCAATACACAAGGAAGTGACTCTTACAAGTACTCAACAGAGAACTCAACAGAAGAAAAGTTACATGTGGGACATATCCCAACTTGCAGCTTAGTTATAATATATAAATGAGTAAAGTGTTCTAACCATGAATGAATTTGAATTTTATTATAAATAAAAATATAACTCTTTATATTATTTTATGAAAAATAAGAAATAGTAAGAGTAGATTAATACCTCAAAACTTTCATGTGCAGACACTCTACCAAACTGAATTGGCAATCCCATACTTTTCATGAGTTTGGCCTCAGAATCAAGTTCACTTTCATCTGGGCTGTGTGATTCTGCAGTGCTATGGGAATGACCATCTTCCTCCTCTTCTGTAGCTTGGTCTCCTACAGACAGCATTTGTTAGCTTCATTGTAGAGAAAAATGCAAAGGCAGGTTTTCTTATCCTCATTTTAAAGAATCTGAGATCCAGAACTCTTCCATGACTTGCCCACACTTGTACTAATGCTACTTTTATATACGTTAAAAAAAATTAAATCAAAAAGAATTGGTGGTAATATGGATTAATATAAAAAAACAATAAAATTTGAAGCCAGCTCATCTTTACAGCAAGTTCCAGGTGAGCCAGAATATATAATGAGACTCTGCCTCAAAAATCAAAGCAAATAGCTAATCATGGTAGTGGGTGCCTTTAATCCCAGCACTCAAGGAGGCAGAGGCAGGTGGATCTCTGTGAATCTGAGGCCATTGTGGTCTACAAAGTGAGTTCATGACGGCCAAGGTTACACAGGTTACAAGGTTATGCTATCTTTAAAAACAAAAACAAACAAAAAAAGCACCTCCCCTACCCCGTCCCTCTTAGTAAAAAAGCTCTCCAAGTTCATGATCAGGCAACAGAAATAGACATCAATAAAGAAACCTCATGTATGAAATTATACCAAAGAGGCTCTTAAATGAGGAAAAGTGAAGGGCATTCCACTCACTATTCCACCCAATGAAATTATGAAAGCTCAGGTGAGCACAGGATGAGGAAGATGACTCAACTAATGTTGTGGTCTTGTCCTGGTAACCCAGCTTCTCTGTTCAGTAGGGACCTAGTGCCTACAGAACTTATTTTGGAGCACAGTATGAAACCTTGCCTTATCCTACCTTCGAGAAAAATCAAAGTCTTTCGAAGGCAACTATGACAGACTGTACCAGAGTTGTCTTAACTCTGTGCTGTAGTTGCATTCATTTTGAGTAACAAGATAAACAGGCTAGGAAAATAGAGAGCATAAAGTGAAGTTGTAATACAGACCAAATTCTGTTTGTTTGGGAAGAGAACTCAGCAGGATTGCAATGTCTTATCATTTCAGACAATAGGCTGTACATGTTCACCCGGGTTCCACCCTCCCTCTACCTTTACTATAAAAATCTGACACAGAGACTTCATTGTGCTTTTCAAAACTTCAAATTCAGGTTGCAGACATGGCTCAGTGGACGGGCTGCTCTTCCAGAGGGCCAGGGTTAGATTCCCAGCACCCACCTAGTGGCTCATAAACATCTGTAGTTATAGTTCAGGGGATCCACTCGATGTCTATCTGGCCTTTATGGGCACTATACCCTTGTAGTATACTTACATACATGCAGGCAAAACACCAATATCACCAAAAGGAAAAAAAAAAAAGGCTTTTAAAAAAGGTTCAAATCCCAGGCTAATGGCTACAAGTCAGGAAGGAGTGGTAGACAGACTGTCTAAGCCAAGCCAACACAAGCCACAGGAAAATCAGGAAAATAAAAGATGAGCTTTGATAGAAATTCTAGAACTGCATCTCTCTCTCTCTGTGTTGTGTGTGTGTGTGAAGTGTTTATAATTCCAGGTTTATTTGCCATTCACCATTTATGCCAGCAAGTATAACACATTACTACAAATTATAATCAGGAATATGGTAGTACAACTAATTTTTATAAAAAGGGTATGCATCTTACTCTACAGTACCTGTATTACTGTCATTGTTTTTGATGTAATAGCCTTTTAATCCCAAGTTGTACAATTTTCGATCCCTGTGAAGCAAAATAAATAATCCACATTAGAATAAGCTGAACTATAAAACTGGAAAGAAGAAAGCGTTAATAGTGCATAAATTAGCTACTATAAACATTAGAAATAGAGACGCAACTTGTTAATTTTTTTTATTTCACCAATTAAGGCAACATTTCCCATGGAGTTGTAAAAATTGTTAATATATATAAAACAACATTTCTTGACACATGAAAGCACTTATTATTACTAATCATTAAAATTAAGTGAAATTTCTCCTTGATATTGAGAGGAAAATCTGATTTTTCTCTGTTACACACAAGCAATTAGGTTATCATCTGAATATATACCAATAATGGAAAAGTCGAGCTCACCTCCTTATAAAGCTACATGCATACTGTAACGTATTTGCAAACAGGATTATCTATTACACAGTAGACAAAGTACTCATGATATGTCTAAGGCTGAATAATGATGTTCTTATTCAACTTTTCTTTTGCACATCTATTTTTAAACCTTTTAATTACCATAAATAGACATTTCATTACTAAAATAAACCTACAGAAAGTGTAGTTTTATTTAATAAAAGTGTACTACACATTGTAGCTAAAACTACCCCCTCCTGTCCATTTTCTTTGATAGGGTCTCACCATGTAGCAAATAGCAACATCTGGCCTCGAACCTGAGATATCATATACTCCCCTGCCCCTTACTTCAGTATCCCAACTACTAGGATTATAGGCATAAGCCACCATATCTGGTTCTAGCACTAAATTTCTGGTGAACTCCTAACAAACTTTACAAAATAAAATTTCTGTCTGCTTGACATAACCTGTTTTTGAAGGGATGCTTATTGAAACAAGGTAAGGAGTGGGAGCCACACATAGGCATCAGTGTTTTGTCTATCAGCACCCAACTATGTGGGTCACAAAGACATTAGGTGGAGGCAAGGTCAGTTTAGTTACCACTTTGGTTACAATGAACAAAAAAGGACACGGACTGAGGAAGATTGACCTAAGATTTGCTTTGTTAAAGGTCATTTCAGAACATAATGGTTCAGTATTATAAACTCATGGTACAGGAAATATACAAGAAGTTTAAAACGCTGACTGTGTACAGACATGCAAATACATATTCCTACACGTGCTACAGCTCATATGAATACTGCACGATTGTCTACTGAAGACACAGGAACAATACATACAATGAGCAGATAGCTTTTGATTTTAAAGTTCTGGGGTGGTTATCTTTAATTGTCAATCTAACACCATTTAGAATCCCTGGAAGAAGGGCCTCTGAGAAGGTTTGTAAGGGATTATCTTAATTGCTTTAACTGATGAAGGAGACTGACCCATAGAGGTAGGCATCATTGCCTGGCATGTGTCTGAGCTTGGGTATTCCAGCTTGTGAAAATGCATAAAGTGAGGACTGAGTACTAGCATGCATGTGTTCAGATTGCTCTTTTCTTCTCACTGTGGCCTCAATATGACCTGCTCCCTCAAGTTCCTGCTGCTATGATGGACTATAACCTGTAACGGGAGAGTTAGAATAAACCCTTTCTCAAGTTGCAAAATTTTTAGGACAATTTTCATCACAGCAACAGAAAAGAAATCTGAGACAAGAACTATTATCCACTAAAAGAACCAACACCCCTTGGAGAAGTGAGTCTAGAAACTGGAAAGGTAAATCTGGGTTATCTTACAAGGGAATGTGAGATACATCAGATAGGCAACAAGAACCACCCTAAAAAGTCTCCCACTAGGAACATTAAAAATGGTATGAAAAGCAGTAATAACCAAGGCAGTGGATTATCACTCTCAATGAACTAAAAGAATGTATGTCAGGCTAGTTAGAGTGTCACACACCTATAATCCCATTACCCTGGGGGCTGAGGCAGCAAGATCACAGGTGTGAGGTGAGACAAGCTTGGGATACATAGTAAGACTGTCTTAGAAAAACAATCTGACTAATATTAACAAAATTTAACAAATAGGAGCACACAGAAAGAGAAGGAAAAGGACCCCATATAAAATGTTAACTGATTAATCACCACCTTCAGAAATAGCAGTTTGAAGCATAAAATGTCAATTAAAACTAAGGCTTTTAGGCTTGTTAAGATGTCATAGTGGAATATGTTTCCACAAAGTATTGGTTTAAACAAGAGGAACCATTACAACAAAGAAACCCTGGCAGTCAGTAGTGATGAGAATCATGGCCAGAGTTGAGAATGACATCATGTAGCAATCCTGCTAAGGCATGATCTGACAGTACTCCCAATGAAATATCAGATAAAGCCAGATCAGGAACAGTAACCCTACAGGATACAAGGACCCCACTTTTAATTGCCACTGAGGACATTAGACAAGGATCCTCAACAATTTAGGGATTAAGCTTGTATTACTGACTGTAGAATTAACCACACCCTCCCCTGCAAAAAAAATTTTTCTCTGTGGATCATCTGACATAATGGAAAGAGACACTGTTGGGAAAGCACAACACACACACACACACACACACACACACACACACACCACAGGAATTTCAATTCACTACAGTAAGTATGCAGCAAAATAGTACTATTTATAAGAAATATAGATCTTATTATTTACAAACATGTTTGCAGCTTGCTCTTTGGTAAAAGACATGCAAGTACATGCCCATATACATAAACAGAACAAAATAGATGGGGAGAAGACTTACTCAGGGGTCATTCCTCAGGCACTGTCCAGTCTCTTTTTTGAGACAGTCTCTTTGTGGCCTAGATATCCCCAAGTACTCCAGGATGTCTGGCCTGTGAGCTCCAAAAACCTAGTGTCTCTGCCTTCTCAGTACAGAGATTACAAGTGTGGGCCACTGTGCCCTGCCACTCAGGTGGGTTCTGGGTATTGAACTCAGGTGTCACATGCAAGCACTTTACCAACTAAGCCAATTCCTTAGCTTTCTGTTATTTTCTACAAACTATTCTTATAAGTTTAAATTACCTAAAAGTGGATTGTAAAAAACCTGAAACATACATTTTATAGCATTAAGCAACTTTGTAACAAAATTGTAATAAAAACAATTAAGTACCAATTCAGCATTTCCTGTGTTTTACTCTAAGCACACAATTTTATATTTACAGTACAGATATTTTGTATTCTGATGAAAGGCTCAGGTTTTTAAGACCAACACAAACTTCTTCAAGGCTCCAAACCAATATATCAAATTTATATCACCTATTCTTGTGTACAAACCTGGGGATGAGACTGGAGAATAGATTTGGAAGAGAGGTGGGAGAAGTGAAGATCTACAGTTAGCCTGCCTGCTTCCCTGGCTGGAGTGGTCAGTGGGACCCCTCACTCTTGAACCTTTCATGACTGCACAGCCAGGACCACACAGAAAATGCTTTGGCTGCTAGGTTGGGATAAATTTTGGGTCCCTTAAATCACACCTGCAGCAGTTTTTGTGTGTACTTGCTTTCTAGGAGCATAAAGCTTCATAGACTCTTCCAAAAAGAAACCAAAATTAAACTGTTGCTACTCATATCACTGTCCCCAAATAAAACTCATTAACCAGTAATCCTCTATCAATGAAAGAAAAGTAGCAACATAAGAACTGAGTTACCTTTGGTCCACTCTTTTTTTTCCCCTTTTAAAAGATTTATTTATTATTTATACAGTGTTCTGCCTGCATGTGTGCCTGCAGGGCAGCAGAGGGCACCAGATCTCATTTTAGATGGTTATGAGCTACCATGTGGTTGCTGGGAATTAAACTCAAGACCTCTGGAAGAGCAGCCAGTGCTCTTAACCTCTGGGCCATCTCTTGAGCCCTGGTCCACTCCTTTTATGCTCTGCCCTTAACATTCTCCTCTCAATCCAATCTTCTTTTCTCCCTTTTCTATTGCTGTCTCTAATTTAAAAAATTGCTTTGTGACATGGTCTTGAAATAAAACCAATGCTGGCTTACAATCTACTGCTGTCTTTCTCAATCAAAGCTATTTTATGTCTTTCCTGAACAAAGTTTTGAGTGGTTGTTCAACAAACCACCATTCACACTACTAAAGATGTTTTTAAATGGTAATATGATTGCTGGGGTAAACTCATATAACCATTTCATTCTCATGCTTCAAGTTTTCTTTTCTGGGGTTTTATTATTTCTGTTTAATAAGTATTATAAAGAGTCATTAGTAAATTTTCTGGATTTTAATTCTTTCTTTTAAAGCTTTATTAGTATAATCATACAGTGATAGATTTCAAGTATACCATTAACTGGGACCATACTCACCTCCCCCATTATCATCTCTTGCTCCTCTCCCTCTGCCAGTCACTTTCCTTTTCCCCAATAGACTCCACTCTGGGTGCTACTGTGGCACAGTGATTTGGTGCATATATTGTACTTATACACCAAATATTCCGTATTTTATTTCTCATGTCATGTGTATGCTACATATGCACACATTATATGAAATCTAGAGAGAAAATGACATGAGAGAAAATTTGTTATATCTTTCTAGTTTAACTTCCTCTGCTTAAGATGATTATCCAGTTTATTTCAAATGACAATTTCATTGTTCTTTACAGATTAACAAAATACCACTGTATAGACACACCAGTTTATTTATCCACTCATCTGTTAACGGATACCTAGATTGAGTCCGTACTTGGTTACTGTGACTTGTGCTACCTACAATATACACTATGAGTAGGAATCTCCTTAGTATGTGGACTTAAGACTCCTTAAGACTCCTAAGATGCCTTAGGTCTATTCGCAGAAGTGGTCTAGCTCAATTATTGGGTAGTTCTATTTTTAGTTTCTTTGAGGATCCTTCATACTTATTTTCATAATGGATGATTCCACCCAATAGTCCCATAAGGCTTTTTTTACTCAATCCTAACAAATATTTGCTAGGACTGTTTGTCTTTTTAGGGACAATCATTCTAGGGTGAGATGGAATCTCTATGTGGTTTGGATTTTAGATTTCCCTTGATAGCTAACGGTGATGAACATATTTTCATGTATTTATTGACAATCTGAATTTACTCTTTTAAGAAGAGTCTGTTCATTTTACATGTCCTTCTACTAATTGGGTTGTGTTAAATTTTTTGAACTCTTTATAGTAGAATTGTTAAGTTCTAGGTTCACTTTCTTTTAGTTACTATTCTTTGCTTTGAAGAGACCATGACAAAGGCAACTCCCGTAAAACAAAGCATTTAATTGGGGGCTTGCTTAGTACCATGATGAGAATGGTGCTAGAGAATGGTGCAAGAAGCAGATGAGAATGGTGCTAGAGAGCTTTACATCCTGATTCTCAGGTAGCAGGCAGCAGGAAGGAGATGGGATGTGGGATGTGCAGACAGACTGACTGGGCCTAATGTGGGCTTTTGAAACCTCAAAGCACATCTCCAGGAACACACCTCCTAATGCTTCCCAATCAGTTCCACTAACTGAATTCATACATACAAGTCTATGGGGCAATTCTCATTCAAATCACCACAATCCTGTTGTCAAAGTTAGGGTGGGCAGAGAGATGAAGAGATTCATTTCAGAGGTAAAAACCCTTACTGTGCATGCCTGTAATTTCAAGAGACAGATCTTAGGAGCTCACTGGCCAGTCGGTCTAGCCTAAATAGAAAGCTGAGGGTTTCAGTGGCAAACCTGTCTGAAAGGACTAAGGCCAAGAGAGACAAAAGAAAGCATTAGGCATTCTCCTCTGTCCTCCTCACGCATACATGAGTATATGAATCTACATGCATACACAGAGCCTTGAGATTATACGAACCACAAAATGGTGGTTCGAATGATAAATGTCCCCTACAGGCTCAGGTATTTAAAACTTGGTCCAGTTGATGGCACTGTTTAGGAATGTGGTGCAGTCTTGTTGGAGGAAGTATATTACTGGGGGCAGGATCTTAAAGTTCTCAGCCTTGCCCACTTCTAGTCTGCATTCTTTCAGCTTCTTGCTGCCATGTTTCCCTTGACACGGACCCTTCCTCTGGAAACATAAGCCAAAATAAACTCTCACAGAAGTTGCTTTTGGTCATGTTGTTTTGTCACAGCAACAATAAAGTAAAACTAATACAGCTAATGTGAAAGACACAAGCAGGACACTTTTGAGAAGCCCAAGACAGGTGTGTCTCTTTCTCAAATGCATTCTTTCTATCAACATTCATGTTTACCTCTGTGTTAAAAAAAAAGAAAAAAAAATCTCTTAATCTGCAACTCAGCTTCCTAAGATTGTTTTTTTTCTGATGCAATGTTTAACATTCTGTCTTCAACTAAGTAGCTGTCTCTAAGAAGTCCTCCAGCTGCTGCAGGTGACAGCTCGGAGCTGTTTCTGCACATTCTGCCCCACTGTGACTGACATAACCTTTCTCTATGGACACAGAGGTTTCTTTGGAGATGGCCTTGGAAAGAGGTCTAAAAGAGACAAACAGGGTAAGTGTGAATAGGAAAAAGCATTCCTAGTTAACCCGAACTCTAGGTAAAGTCTAGAGGCAGTAAAGGAAAGCCTATGAAACCAAAGGAAATGACTAAGAATGGAGACAGAGTTGGAGAAGTAGGCAGGGGTCAAAACATACACGATGATGTAGAAGCCTGGATGTCCCTAAAGCCATGGTCCAATTTTAGAATGACATGGAATGAATATCCACATTCAGCAGAAACCAAAGTTTAGAGTATGAAGTAAAACTATAGTTTAGTTTTTAGAATTCTCAAACTTAAAACGACTCTCTTGACAGTAAGCCCCTGTAAAATTAAAAACCAAATTACATACTTACAACATATAGTGGTACAGAAAAGAAAAATGGGGCACAGTGAAGAAATGCTGGGCCAAAGCAAGACCAAGTTCTGCAGCTCTATGTCCTATGTCTGGAGCTTTAATTTCAAAGGGCTTTGGTGGCTCAGTCCCTCCACCTTCACTGCCAGGAAGAAACCCCTCCCAGGTTGTTCTCACACACTTAATTAAGCTCTCCTTGGCAGGTATTTCATGACTCTGCATCTTCATTATCTTGAGGTCTCCATTCAGGATTCACTTTTACAACTACAGGCAATGGCACTTTAGGGCCTTCATGCAGAGGCTCCAGCTGTGTAACATGTTGCCGGGCCTCCCTCAGAGGCTCTCTAGAAGCATTCAGGAAGAATCCAGGACCCCTCACTCTTGAACCTTTCATGACTGCACAGCCAGGACCACACAGAAAATGCTTTGGCTGCTAGGTTGGGATAAATTTTGGGTCCCTTAAATCACACCTGCAGCAGTTTTTGTGTGTACTTGCTTTCTAGGAGCATAAAGCTTCAGTCCTTTCTTTTCACAAGTTGGAGCTGGCTGGGTGTAGCCCCCGGCACGCCTCTCTTTGCTCTGGTACAGGGTAGAGGGCTGTCCCTAACTGCTAATCTCACTAGTGTAATAGCCTCTCCTCCAGCACATGCCCTGCCTGTAGCATAAGCTTTCTAGTGCTCTTTTCTCTCCAAACTGTACACTTTTTATTTCTTTTTGCTCCACTGCTCTTTTTCATTGTAGACCCGCAAAAAGGGAAATCAATCACAGGAGGCTCAATGTCATGTACTCCTGAAAGTTTCTCTGCAAAAGAAACAAATCCTCAGGTAAGTTCTCAAGACATGGGCAGAAAACAGCTGGATTTTGCTAAATATATCACAGGAATGGATAAGTTAGTATTCAGGTCCTGATTTCTCTCTTGAGAAATAGTCTGTCTTACTCTCAATACTACTGTCTTCCAGGTTACTACTAGAATGGCCTGATAAGCTCTGCTTATAGCATCCAACCTCTAGTCCAAAGTTCCAAAGTCTTCACAAAACAAACCCCAACATGGCCAGGTTTTTGTACGAACAGCTCATTTTCTGGTACCAATTTCTGTTCTAATTACTTTCTGTTGCTGTGATAAAAGCACCATGGCGGAAAGCAACTTATGGAAGAGTTTACTTTGGCTTACGGTTCCAGAGGGAGAGTCCATAATGGCAGGGGACATATGGCAGCACGCAACTGGAACAGGAAACATCTTCAACTGGAAACATGAAGCAGAGAGAATGCAAACTAGAAATGGGCAACATGATAAACTCTTAAAATCTGCCCAAGTGACCTACTTCCTGTAGCAAGGGCGCGCCAGCTTCTCAGACAGTGCTACCCACCGGGGACCAAGTGTTTAAAGACCTGAGCCTATCTCTGGGGATCATTTTTCATTTGAACACATCAGTCATATGTTTCTGGTGGCTTCTGAAGCTCTACTTCAAGGGGTCACTAAGAAATTTATATTATATTACAGAGCAGCTTCTGGGCCATTCCCAGAAAATTTCAGATTCATATACGGGAACTAGTCAGACCATAAACGCTTATGCTTAAGCATGGCTAATTGTTATTTCAGCATTCTCTTAAAAAACAAAACATAGCCAGCCTGGTCTACAAAGTGAGTCTAGGACAGCCAAAGATACACAGAGAAACCCTGGCTCAAAAAACCAAACCAAACCAAACTACGTATAGCAAGGTGTAGTAGTATACACTTTTAATCTTAGTGTTGGGAGGCAGAGACAGCTCCATGAGTTTGAGGTCATCCTGATCTACATAGTCAGTTTCAGGCCAGCCAGAGTCACTTAGTCTTTTGGTCAGACCATGTCTTAAGTTTTTGGGGTTGGTTCTCTCTCTCTACCATGTGGGTCCTGGGGATTGAACTCAGGTCCTCAGTACTGGTGGTAAACGTCTGAGCCATCTCAGCATCCTACTTCAACTTTTCTTCCCCCCGGCTTTTCAAGATAGGGGTTTTTCATGTTAACAGAACCCTGTGTATTCTAGACTCACTCTGTAGACCAGGCAAGCCTCAAAAGCAAGAGATCTGCCTGCCTCTTCCCTGGTGCTGGGATTAAAGGAGCATACTACCATACCCACCCTATTGCTCTTATTCCATCTGTTTCTACATGTTATCTTTACTCAGGCCACCTTCAAGGCAAATTTTGTTAAGGATGCTAGATTGTATTCTTGACTCTCAGCTGACAAGAGACTCCAAGAAGACTTTGAAAGGGAGAGTTTCTTTCTCTGCCCAAGGCCTCAGGGCTTTCACTATCTATCCTGCCAGACTGATATCAAAGTGCCTCAGATTTCTGTCTCATATCCACAGTTATCTGAGTAATTTTGCAAACAGCTATCCTAGTGAAATATTGATCTCCTTTGCTTAGAAAGTAAATTTAGTTCAGCCTGTTTCTGTCTTATATGCCATTGCCTACCAGGCTATCTAATAGAAGCACAAAACAAAACTTCACTGAATTAAATGCATACCTGACTATAAAGACAGTATTTTTATATTAAATTTAACATTTTTTAGGAGTTTTCTAGTATCTTCCCCAAGCATGTAATGAAAAAAAAAAAATACCTTCAAACTTAAATTTTAATTTTCTTATCAATGGTTTTACTACAAGAAGGTTCTTTTGATTCAGGCAATTTTTAACATGAAACATTTTCTCTAAACAGAGATGTCTCTAAAACTGTCTCAAAGAGTTAATTCTTTTATCTCAAATAATTAGAATTGCGTCAATTTTTGTGGGAAACGATTTTACCGTTTGAAAAGAGCTCTATTTTCAATCGTCACCTCATTATGCTGTATGCATTGGTTTATACTTCACACCTCCACCTCTAGCTTACTGGTGGATGGACGCTGGTCTCGAACTTGTGATCCTTCTGCTTCTGAAGCGTATGATTACGGCCTGGGCCACTTCACCCGAGTCAGTCAACTTTTGAGACTGGCCCTTCGTTTACGTAAACAACACAAGTAAAGGTACCACATTTTAAAAACCAAAAATAGAATTAATCTTCCTTTTAGTAATAGCAGTAGAAGAGCATTCCGTCACGCCTCAGGGGCCTCGAGTTTCCTAAGACACCACTCTGCCCTAGGAGCAGGTCATCCTGGCTTTCAGGAACGTCCCACTCGACCTCGGCGACAGCCACTTTCCCCGAGCAAGGATAAAAATCGCGACTTACTCCACAAACGCCCGGGAGCAGAGGCAAAGGATCCTGTACTCCTCCTCGCGGTCTTCAATGAAGAGCAGCATTTCGGCCACGTGGTTCCACTTCTCGCAACACATTCTGTCCTCCGGGGTCGCTCTCCCGTGTCCCAGCGTGGTGGCTGGGCCCCTGCACGGCTGCAGGAAACAGAAAACACCCGGCCGCGCGAGCGGACCGGCGGAACGCGCCTGGGGGAGCTCGAGCCCGGAGCCCGCCAGGAGCGTCACAGGAAGCGGCTACGCTGGCTGCCGGAAGGGGTGGGGCGACCGGCGGTGCTACCTTCAAGACGGCTCGGGCTCCTTCCTCACAGGTGCTTAAAGGAAGCCGGCTGTACCTGAGCGTCCGTCTCTCCCGGCAGCCCGGCCGCCGACTAGCTGCCGACGCCGGCGGGGGCAGCCCGGTTTCCCGCGCCTTCCGCGTCAGGTGCGTCGGGCCCCCCCTGGGTCTCCCCGCGCTGTTTCAGCCGGTGGCGTGCGCGGTGTCGGGGTCGCGGGGCGGGGAGCGGAAAGGCGTTCTGGTTCCCGGGCCTCCGCCCCTGCGCTGTCCGCTCCGGGAGCCCAGTTGTTGCCTCCACTGTCACCCGCTGGTTCTCAGCGCCCGCATCTCTCTCCACTGCCGGAACTGCCCACAGCTTTTCTTGTGTAGCTAGGCTGCTCGCGTGCCGGGTGATGGCCCAGTCCCGCGAGCCTGAAGGAGCCTGAGGGAAGTGTGAGACTGTAGTGACCAAGCCATTGGTACAGGTTAGAAGTGTTGGTGTGCTGACGGATCAGGCTTGGAATCCTGGTTTATGCTTTTCAGTATCCGTGACCTGGCAAGTGACTTGGCCTCTCTAAACAGCATCCCATCGTCTATAGAAAGGGGCCTTGTAGCAGTAACTACCCCATAAGGCTGTGGAGAGGATCAAAGGAAACAGCACTTACAAACTTTTATATTTGTGTAAAATTCGAGTCAGTCCTGACCTTGTAGATGATGCGCTGCCGCTGTCGCTGGCTTTTTTCAATCTACAAAATATTTAATAAGAAATAGTAATTCATAAATTTGGATATAGAATACTTACAGCATTGCTATATTCAGTACTAGGTGCTGCTTGAGACTGGGCAACAGCTTCCTCAAAAACAAATCAAGCTCATGCTTGAAGGTTGTTCCATCAATGAAGACTTGGTTTGTTCTGTTAACGCTAGAATATCATTAGTACTTTTTATGGGCTATGTAGGAACTGAGCTGAAATCCAGATGTTTAGAATGCTCTTTTGTATTTGGGCCACGTTTGTGAGTCGATGGAAATACTTTAATTTTCAAAGGAAATGTTTATTCCCGAATTCATAAAGCGGCTTTATTTTGAGGTCAAATATATATTGAATTTAGGAGTTATGAAAGATAGAGTATTGTAGTTGCAGATACCCCAGGCTAGATGTATATTATAGGTGGGCATGATGGCACACACCTTTAATCGCAGACTTGGGAGGCAGATGCAGACAGATCTCTCTGAGTTCAAGGCAGCTTGGTCTGCAAAGCAAGTCAGGACCACACAGTGAGACCCTGTCTCTAGATAGGTAGGTAGGTTGATAGACAGACAGACAGATAGATAGTTGGATGGATGGATGTGTATTGCAGCCTTATTGAAGTGACTAGATGTTGAATATAGTACAGTAGAATAGTAGTCATCAAAAGAGTGCAAGATTTTAGCCAAAAATAGAAGAGCATTTTTATATTGAAAATAAACAACGTATTTGAAAAGTAATGCATATCAGAAGCTGGAGAAAGAAGCTTAAAATCACAATTTTTTTTTCATTGTTAAATGACACCTGGGTGTTGGGGAGAAGGCTTATTGGTTACAGGTGCTTACCACAAAACATGAACTGACTCATGAAAGTTGTCCTCCACCTGCACATGAACAGCCGTGGCACATGCTCACTCATGCACCCTCCCCACAGGGTCAGGTAATAAAAATATTTTAAAAGTTTTTAAAAAGTAAGTGGCAGCTAATAATTGTACATATTTCTGGGGCACAGGGCAGCATTTCAGTGCATGTTTATAGTGTGTATTCGTGATCAGGTTAGAGGAAATGATATGTCTTTTACCTCAGGCATACCATTTCTTTGTGTTGAGAACATTCAGAATGTCCTCTATGAGCTGTTTTTGGGTACTCCTTTTGTGAACCACAGTTTTCCTACTGTGCTTTAAATGTTAACTCTTCATTTTAGCTCCCCTCGCCCCATTAAATCACCCTGTCTATAGCCTTCTTTCCTGCACTGAGGAGCTGTGCCAACCCACTATTCTTTATCTTTGAGATTAATGTATGAGCATGGGATCATGCCACGCAGAATTAGGGGGGAGCCTCCCACCTCTGTTAACATTATCCAAAAAAAAAAAAAAAAAAATCCTCACAGACAGTCACAGAAGTTTGTCACTAGACAGGAAAGGGAGGTGACTTCAGAGAGCAATGCAGAGGGAAAGAGGGGTCCAGCTTTCCTGGGAGAGTAATAGAGAGACAGGTTGCAGAAAGAGAACGAGGTAGATGCAAGTAAAGACAGAACAAGCTAGAGAATGAGAAGGAGCCAGAAGATTAGAATATTTTACCAAAGTTAGTGTGAGGGCAAGCAGAACGATTTAGTCAGAGGCTGAGACAAGCCAGATTGAATCAGTCAGTCGTCTTGGAGAGGAGTGAGTTGTGTTGAACTAGTCAGCCAGAGTTCAGAAAGAGTTAGAAAGGGTGAACTTACTCAGCAGTAAGTCTCAGAGGCTGAAAACATTCGAGGCCTAGAATAGATTGTAGGGAAGTGAGAAGCTTCCAGGACTAGGCTTAGGTTAGCAGACAACAAGCAGGAAATAAACCTCTGAGACAACAATTAAATTAGGCAAATAAAAGTTAGTGAAGATACCTGATAAGCTAGGGTCAGATGGAAGGGGAGGAGGACCTCCCCTATCAGTGGAATTGGAAAGGGGCAGGGAGGAGATGAAGGAGGGAGGGTGGGATTAGGAGGGAATGAGGGAGGGGGCTAGAGCTGGGATACAAAGTAAATAACCTCTGATTAATATAAAAAATGAAAATTATAAAAAAGAAAGATATAGAAACGAGAAAAAAAATTACTTTAGCAACATTGAAGGCAGATACGGTAATGACTTCAGCATTATGCCCGGTGCTCAGGGTTGCTTTGGTGATTTCAAGTCTTTTGTGTTTCCTTATGAGATTGAGGTTTGTACTAGGTCTGTGAATGCATTTTTCTATTTTTGTGAAATGTCTTGGTATTTTTATTGGTATTTCTTTGAATCAAAATAACCATTTTTTTGACTAGTATGCATATCTTAACAATATTAATTTCTTCAAACCATGAACATGGAATGCTTTCAGTTTTTTTATGTTTTTTAAGTTTCTTTCATCCCTGTTTTATAACTTTTATTGTAGAGATTTTTCCCTTTCTTTGTTAAGGTCTCTTCTTTTCATGTACACTGTGTTCATAGCTGGAGGTTATATATTGCACCTGAAGTTTTCACTGTGATTTATCATATGAGGTTGTGAATTTAAGTGTGGAATTTTTTAGTTTTTGGCATTCAGGTTTTTCTGATTTTTGGAATAGTTTGGATTTTGGGGTTGGCAGTGCTTACTTAACCTGTATAGAACTTGGTCCTGTCCTTAGTTTTAGGTATATATCTGGGTCCTAGAATGTACACTTTATAGATAAGAATACTCTTATTCTATTTGTTAATAGAATTGTCTGAGGAGATAGTACAGAAATCTATAAAGTTATAAGATGCTAAACCTATTAAAATGTAGAGAAGTCTAGATTATTGTAGTCAGTTACCTTAAATAATAACAGTCAAAAGTTTCAAACTGTTTGTTGGGCCTAGACAATTTCTTTTAACCTGTACAAAAGTTTATATATATTTTTTATTTATTAGCATTCTTTAAACACTTTTAAACAACTTTTGAGATACAATTCATAACATGCACCATTTTACACCGCAGCTTAGTGGGTTCAGGCATCCTTATTCTTTAATTCTAGGATATTTCATTATCTCCTTGACTCTCCACAGTCCTGGCAACCACTAATTTTCCTAACTATTTGGATTAGCTTATTTTGGATATGATATATTAATGCACATGTATCCACTCATCAGTTGATGGGCATCTGAATCTGTCTACTTTTCAGCTATTATAAAAAATTCTGTCACAAATGCACAAGTTTTGTGTGAATAGTGTATCTGTAGTCTTTTTGGGTATATACCTTGTAGATTTTTTTGGGTAATATAATAATGTATATTTAGCTTCTTTAGAAACTTCCAGGCTGGTTTCTGAAGGCACTAAATTTTGCTGTATTGAATTCTAAATGATCAAGAAGTGGTAAATTATGATTCAACTCCTACTGTGGATTGATTAGTATAATGATTAATTTTTATTATCAACTCTAGATTTTATCAAATTTTGATTTTGATTTGATTACAAAATACGTGGTACATTAGTTAAGCACCCTTGTTGGCTGTGTCTGAGAGGGTATTTTCAAGTAGTTGGGCCTTGGTACTGAGTGAAAAGAGGAAAAGCAGAAAGCATGGTGATCACTGGATTCCTCTCTGTTGCTACAGGACCAAGTGTTTCATGGTGCCACAATTTCCTGCTGTTATTTTTGTATTCCTTTGAACCATGAGCCAAAGTAAACCCTTCTTACTGTAAACTGCTTTCTTGCCGAGTATTTGATGGCAGTGATGAGAAAAACAACCATGCAGTGATATAATAAAATGTAGGTTGAGGAGCATAGCATATACTGTGTTATCCTCTATAAAGAGAATAGGCTCAGTACTTTCCCAAATAAATGCTATTGGTTACAAGGAAACCAGACCAAATCGTCTATTATTCAAAATGTGTGCTCTGTTCCAAAACTAGAAGATTAATAATACGTGAGGGTCATTTAGACATCCTACATTTATACTTCCCCCTTCAAATAGATGCAAATATATTTTAATATGAAAATTCAGAATGTTTAATTGGATAAAATATAGTTCATCTTTTTTTCTTCTTGGCAATGCTAGATATAGGACCCAGCACCCTTTACATTGTAGGCAAGCATTCTACCACCGAACTACACCGCAAGGGCTACCAACCCACCCTGATGGATGCACATATTTTATAGTTGTAGTAAAACAGTTTAATGGGTGGGCCTTCATAGAATGCTGCAGCAGTCTTAAAATGTGCAAAGGTGTACTGAATGTAACTGACTTGAGATACGCCTAGGGCTGTCATTGTTTGTCCAACATTTGTGGTTATTTCTTGCCATTTATTTCATGGAAATGTAAACATAAGGTACTAGTAATTTTTGTTTAATAATATATTTCTTTTGTTTACTGTGTTTCCAGAGTACATATATTGAAGCTAGAGACAAGATATTTTTGTCATTTCTGGTAAGTGTTTTAGAGAGTGAGTTCATATAATTTTTCTATTTGTTTTTGTTTTTTTCGAGACAGGGTTTCTCTGTGTAGCTTTGGCTGTCCTGGACTTGCTTTGTAGACCAAGCTGACCTTGAACTCACAGAGATCCACTTGCTTCTGCCTCCCTGAGTACAGTCTTTTTGTAGCTGTGTTCAGTCATTTATGTTTTAATAGAAATTTTAATGAATGTAAGATAAAAGTACAGTTTATTCAGACAAGCTCTTATGTAAACCCGTTTCTCTATAAAGGAAAATAATCCATGCGTATGTCATGATTTCCTAAAGCTTTGGATTACTTGGCTGAATCAGATACTGATGTTTTCCTTTGTGAAGTACACTGTTGATCTTAGTTTAAAGAGTAAAATGCTCAGCATGATCCACAGAAGAAATGAATTAGAATACCAGTTTGAGCTGCAATTTCAGTCTACATCAGGTTTTCCCTCTTAAACACAGTTTGGAAGTTATTTCAAAAACCAAACCCAACACTTTTCATGATTTTGTAGATAAAAACCTTTTCATTCTCACAGTTAAGGGTTAAAAAATAGCTACTCATCTTTGGTATTACAGATGACTCTCCAGCTAGGAAGTGCTCATGCATGCCTTTAATCCCAGCACTCAGGGAGGCTGAGGAGCCAGATTTTTGTAAATTCAAGGCCAGCCTGGTCCACTTCCAGGACAGCCAGGGCTACATGGAGAAACCCTGTCTTGAGACTTCCCACTCCCCCAAAATGATGACTCTTCATAGCACTTACGTATACATATTTAACTTTGTTGCTGTGAAGAGAATAACTGCATTATTTTCTCCCTTCTAGAATTGAAGTTAAAACGTATGGCAATGAAGAAAGAGACAGAACTTGGGATTTTCATCTAAAGAAAATGATAGACACCAACCAAACCTGTACTGCCGGACAGGACTCTGTGCCCTACCTGACTTGCATGATTCATGTACTCGAAGAGTGGCTGGGTGTGGAGCAACTGGAAGACTATTTGAATTTTGCCAACCATCTCTTATGGGTTTTTACCCCACTGATACTTTTGATACTTCCTTACTTTACTATCTTTCTTCTCTACCTTACTATTATTTTCCTCCACATCTATAAGAGGAAGAATGTATTAAAAGAAGCCTACTCTCATAATTTATGGGATGGTGCGAGGAAAACTGTGGCAACTCTATGGGATGGACATGCAGCGGTTTGGCATGGTAAGTGGGGATGCTGCAGTCTCTGTTGCCTTGAAGCATAGGAATGACACCATGTGTCTGTTTATTGATGGGGAAGTTACTGAAAAATAGAGTGAAGGATATGAACAATTCCTTGTTAATCTGTTTACATATATTGTGTATATGTATGTCTTTAAATGATTTTTCCTAAACAAGTTTATTTTTGTTCAAGAATTACACAGCTCTTGACTATTATAAGCCCAAATATAAAAATTGGTATTTAAAACATCTATAAAAAGTCTTAAAACTGTCAACCCTTTGTTTTCTTACCACACAAAGTAATAACTTTTATTGTGACATTTTCATGTGTATCTGTCAATATACTTTGTTCTTATTCACTGTCCCATTACTTTTTTCCTCTCTCCATCTCTACCTCTTGCTGTTTCTTTCCCTTTTAAGTAGTCCTTCTCCTTTCATTTCATATATATTTTATTTTTGTCTTTTGCTCCTTCCTTCCCCTTTAGAGCTTTTTGTCTTGTCACATTCTTCTTTTTTTTATTTCATAGTAGCTGCTTTTTTGTCGCGGCTTTCAAAGATTAACTAATCTGCTTGCTTGCGTATCTATCTATCTATCTATCTATCTATCTATCTATCTATCTATCTAT